ACAAAATGCCTTAGCTTCTACGCCTTTTTATGTGTTGAGCATGCTAGATGCTGAAATACAAATATTGTTTCAGAGAAAGACACATACCTGAACTTTGAAAGCTGCTATACACCAAAATGTGCATTGGTGAGCAAGCATAAACAACCAGTTTTCAAATACAGATTGGAGCTGCAGGTTTGCACCCAAAAAGCTCATACATTATCCCATGGACAATGAAAAGGCTTACCTGCAACACCATTCAATACGGCCCTCTCCTTCACAGGTTTTAGTCCAATGATTGTCTGCCAGGTTTTTCATTGCCTCAGCATATTCACAGAGAGTTTCCTCATCTTCACAATGTTCACGCCAGATTTTATCAAAGTCTCCCACTAAACAAAAAGACAGCAACCAAGAGATGGAGATGAATAATGAGAGTGGTGATCAAACCCAGAGTTCGGGCTATCCTATAAGCATCCACTTTCATGAAGGAAACACAAGTAATTCTAACCAATGTAGATAATTTAACTGAACAGCAACGGAGTCAATAACATAAGTCGTCTACTTAACACAGGCCCCGGTCACACGGCAAAGTTGCTGCGGGAGAGGCACGGATGGTGGGCGGATTATCCGGGTGCGATCACACCCCAACATCTGGGAAGTGGAGCGCACCCATGGCTTACCGCCGAAAATGCACGTTAAAAAAGTTTTACCTCCAAAGTACTAGTAAATGTTTGCCACGGGCTGCCACCAGACTCCTATGGTGTGATCGCACCGGCGTGCGGCATTCCCCTCCGGTCCCTCGTTCACCCGCCGGCACTGAGGGAAGGACCCTTGGTGTGCTGCCGGTGCGTCTGATCGTGTAATCGCGGATCAAACTGTGCCAGGGCAATTAGCCACGCCTCCCCCGCGCAATATCTGGCCCGTGTGACCGGGGCCATTCATTACATTCACAATGCCCCTAGAAAAATTCAGTTTGGATCTTTACTTATTCATGAAGAAAGAAGCTACAAAACATTTACGAGAAATCCCATTTGAACATTCTATAAAAGTTAATGAATGCTGAAGACCTCATCCTGTTATTATATCATTTTCTCTCCAAAAATACTGCTTTCCCTCCACTTCTTTCTGAATAGCAAGATACCCTGGGAAAGCATTCCAGTTCAGCAAAGTTTTGAAACTGACTTTCAAAGCAGCCTGGCCCATGATATTTAAGAGAGAAATTTTGGTGAAGTTCTCTTTCTGCCTTTTTAGACAACATTTAGACAACATAGTTAGACTTCCTGTTAAATACAGAATAAAGTAATCTAGGTTAAGAAAATAAAATACCATTTAATTAAATGACAGTTACTCTACACTACACATAACAGAATTTACAACTCCTTCCCAGAGGTTGGTGCCCCCAGACTCTGAAGAAGTGTGCATGCACACAAAAGCTTTTACTTAGAATAAAACTTTGTTGGATCTTAAACGGTGCCACTGGACTCGAACTTTGTTGAGAAAGGGAGCAGAGGAGACTGGTAGGTAGAGAGCTTCCTTTGATATACTCACTCCCTTTCTTGGGTTTCAAGTTCATGCTAGAAAAACCACACATTCAACAATTCTGTTGCAGTGAACAGATCCAGTGGCATAAAAAATTCAGTCTTCATTCCCTTTTCTTCCAAGAGCCTTTACTACACACATGGAAAATTTTGCTTGTTTTTCTTGTTAGGAAGGCAATATCAAGTTACTAAGAAAAAACTGTTTACTGTCCAGTTTTGAAGTTTGTTCTAGCCATGTTTCCTGAATCTTCTAAAATTTATGCTGATGTAATTATTGCTGGAAAGCTGCACAATCTCTTCTGAATAAATGACTGATGGTCTGCCCAGTTCAAGTCTAGTATAGTTATGGTTGCATTAATGGTAAACTACCAATCTTTAAAATCTTGGCAATCAAAACTTACTTTACATAAAATAATTGAATCCATGACATGTATCTGCATATTAATGCCTACTTGGTATATTCTTCTCAAATGTCAGCCATCACCTGCCCTTTTTTGCTTTTATTTTATTTGTCCCTCTAGGTTTGGTTAACAGTGAATCAGAAAGCAGCAGTGATTCTCATGAGTCAGCTGATAAAGGTCAGACTGAATTATCAAAGAACTGAGAACTTGGAATGCAAGATTTTGGAAGGTTTAATTCCTGTACTCCCCTTCCCCAAGGCAACAAAAGGCTTCTCCCTACAAAATACTCAATAAGCAGCACAGATATTAAGGGATTATTAATAGATTTAATGGCATACCAGCAATACATAATAGAGATTAAACTAGAAAAACATACAATGCATCAAACCTTTAAGGGGAAAAATTATAACCTTTTTATCATAGTATACATCTGTATATCTTATTGGGTACTACTCCTTCAGAAACAATTCAGAAACAGCCTCCCCATGCAGTAATTTTTTAAAAATGCTAACAATATGAGCTACTAAAAGAATAATTGAAGACCTTTTATTGACATAGGATTATTTCAAATGATAGCCTACTCCATACAAAACACCAGATATGCACTGGCAATCACATCAAAGCACCAGAGTGTATGTGTCTGTATATACATACACTAAAAGAATGCTTGAACCCAGTTACATTATTGCAGCAATCTTCTTGTGATCAAGATGGTGCAGAAAGACAGAAATTGAGGGAATCACACACACTCATGATGTATGCATTTCAGTTTCATGAGCTATTTCCTTCATGCATTTGCAGGCCTGAGTGAATACCAGAAGTCCACGTGGAGGATGCTACTGCATATCTGAACCAGCAATCACCAGTAAGGAAACTACAGACAGTTAGGACACTATACAGGCATTTCTTTAGTGTACATAAGAACATAAGAGAAGCCAGTGTTGGATCAGGCCAATGGCCCATCCAGTCACACAGTGGCCAAAAATACCAGGTGGCATCAGGAGGTCCAGCAATGGGGCCAGGGCACTAGAAGCCCTCCCACTGTTGCCCCCCCCCCAAAACACCAAGAATACAGTGCATCGCTTGCCCCAGACTGAGAGCCACTGATGGACCTTTGCTCCATGTTTATCGAATTCCCTCTTGAAGCCGTCCATGCTTGTAGCCACCACCACCTTCTGTGGCAGTGAATTCCATGTGTTAATCACTCTTTGGGTGAAGAAGTACTTCCTTTTATCTGTTCTAACCTGACTGCTCAACAATTTCATTGAGTGCCCACAAGTTCTTGTATTGTGAGAAAAGGAGAAAAGTACTCCTTTCTCTGCCTGCTCTATCCCATTAATAATCTTAAACCTTCAAAATTAAAACCTTCAAAATCACATGCAACAAATTTCTATCTACCCACCAAATTCCTTTCCTTTTCAACATAGGCTGGTAAAGAAATTACTCATATGTACAGTATTTGATATTAGAATGACAGACTGGTGATAGGAGAGATGGGTTGAGACATCATTTAAAGAGAGAAAGAGCTTGGCTGATGCACCAGATAAAACGTATATACACTTATCTTAAAGACAGATGGGACACAAAAGGCAACAAGAACATCTATCCATGCCACCAAGGCTCTTCAGGCCTTACAGCAGTCCTCCCCATAAAGAGCCTGTCCTGAGACTGGAGGACTTCCTGGACAGGGCCACAACACATTGCAAAGGCTACAGTTAGAATGGAAATAATGGCAGGCCTCACACAAATCCTATGGGGATGATTAGGCTGAGAGGCACAAGTTGCCATATGTCACCTGGCCAGCCTCATGAAAATGTGTAGTTCTGAATCTCAGGATACACTCATAGGCTATCAAGCAAAGACATTATTTTTTAGATATTTATATCCCACTTTTCTGCCTAAACTGGACACAAAGCAGCTTACAACATTGTTCTCCCTTTCTCCCTTTCATCCTTACAACAACCCTATGAGGTAGGTTCAGTTTAGAGAGTGACTGGCTCAGGGTCACCCAGTAAGCTTCTACAGCAGGGTAGGAATATCAATTTGGGTATGCCAGATCCTAGTCCAATATTCTCATCACCACCATGCTGGCATTAGAGTCTGGAATGATCTTCATACAGTCTGAATCTAATTGGTGAATTAGTTCTTTTATGAAAACAAGCTGTACAGCTCTTCCTTCCAACGGGAGACCCACAAACACAGAAACAATGCTGAAAAGTGTAGGATACCCTGTATGCCTGGAACTCATTCGGACAGATGCCAATCCAGCCTTGCCTCATTAAACTCTAGTAAGGCAATTCCCATGTTGGCTGCTCAAGATTCTGTCATTGCTAAGTAGTGAGGCTTCATATTGGAGCATAAACTTTGCATGCAAGATCACTCAGCATCAGGCAGTAGTGCTGTAAAATACCTCCATTTAAAACTTTGAAGAGCCACTAGATGGACCAACAGTTGGACCCAATTTAAGGCAGCGTCATTGGAAATTATTCTGAAGGTCTCTGCCATTCTGAATATATTTGAGTCAGGGAATCAAGTGGTATCCTTTTTCTGACATTTTAGACATCTGGAAATCATCGACACAGCTCTCCTTTCTTAGGCTCTACGTAGACATTTTAAAAATCTTTCTTCATTGATCTGTTCTCTCTATCAAGTACAATACCTCTTATTGGAATCCTGATTGAACTATGATGCCCACAACTGAACATAATGCTCCAGATAGGATCAAAAAGCTTAAAATAGTTTGTCTTGCATGGAGAAATAAAATATTGCTGACACATGCTTCGTGTTATCTTGCAGTTTTGTAAGAAAAATGTAGAAGCATGCCTTAACAGGAATTAAGAGACAACCACAGAATCAAGATAATGTAGGACAGAACCTATTAGAGCTTCCAGAACATCTTATTTCAAACAGTTGTCCCTTGCCCCCCAAAAAGGGGGGGGGGAACCCAACCATCCAGGAATATGAGATTCATTGAAGCTAACAGATTCTTACTTTCTAATTGACCAACTCTAATAGTTACAGAACCAACAACATTCCACACATCTGAAAAAAGTGTCACAGACCACTGGGCTGACATAGAAGCAAAGTTATAATGGCACTGCTAAACAATATATTGCCACAGCTATCAAGAACCAACATTCACTGAGATGTCTCCTTCAGAGCTCGTTCTTTTTTTAAAAAGCAATATATATCTACATACTACAAGGGAACCATTCGCTCTTGTATGAACTAACATTTACACCTTCAGTAGCAACTGTATGTTCACTCTACTTGGTTGTTAAATAAAACCAACTGAAATTATATCTATTTTAATTAAGCTAAATAGTATGTATTTTATACATTGTCACAAGATAGCATCATCTCCCCTAAAGGAATTTTAGTGATAACTTCATTTATTTGGTTATTCTTTTAATGCAAATGGGTACTATTTTGTAAACAAGTAATTACAAT